GAGTTCGATAATTAATACCGTAAATCCTCTAATTAAGCCTCCGGTGGCTTATTTTTTTCAAGCACTTTTAAGGGGGGGCTTAATAGAGAGGGGGGGCTTATTTAAGGAGCAAGGTTTCTCGAGGACGGACTTGTGGTTCCCGGGCGGTTTACTGCTTTGTCTAACGATAAGAATATGGTGACAATTCTCCACAGAGAACTAGAGCGCAAAGTTGAGAAAGTTAAGCATATGAAGTTGGAGGTCATGCGGCTGAAGACCAAAAACAATATGAACTTTCAGCCTGAATAAACCATAACTGATCAGTTCACGTTAATCGTTAATTTTTTTGTGGAGAATAAGGATTGGGGAAGAGGGGGGGGGGGGGNGAAACGCCTGTCTCGTATAACGTCTCGCGCCGTTATAATGGCTTAAAAATGACAACAATGCTTATTTCGGATTGTACGGTAGCAATACACTACTAGCTGATACACGAAATATTTTTTAATCCTCTGCGACTCGGAGTATAGTCTCGTGTAATTGTGGAAGATTGGAAACGCAGTGATGTTTGGAACTAGACGCTCTAGCCTGACAACCGCCTCTCATAATCCAACAACGGGGATTGATGACGGGCGTCTCCATTCGCATGAGATTTTTAAACTTGCCGGTGAAAATTCTATATTTACCTCACTAATAATCCAAGAAAAAAAATGAATGTATCGGAAGAGGATAGCACCAAAACGCCAACACGAAGCCTTAACTTAGGGTGGCCCCCATAGCTACACTCAATTATTTTGAAACAAGGTTACTTTGGGCAAAGTTGCCTTTTTAAAGAACGATATTTGTGGCGACTATTTGTTTAAGAATTAAAAGTGGTCAGTTTTTGGTTCTAATATAGATTGTCCTTGTAATGAAAATAAATATTTTAAACCTATTACAAGACTACTCATGCATGTTCTATGTTTGGCCACGTGCAGACTCCACTGATGACGTTATCAGGTCACACAGAAGCCATCTCAAGCGTGCTGTGGGTGGATAACAACACGGTGTGCAGTGCAAGCTGGGATCACTCTATTCGCATCTGGGACCTTTCGGCTGGGGTCAACAAACAAACTCTGGTGTGTTTATAGACTTTACAGACCCTTTTTTCCCCCGTTAGACGGTCTCAAATGCACGAGTGTAACCTGGAGAAGAGTATCAAATGTACCTTGGAGGCAAAGGCCGGATGTGAGGAGGCCTATTTTTCACTCCTCCCTTCCCCCACCACTGGAAAGAACCCGACGCCCTCCACCTCGTAATCTACGAGCAAGATCTCCTGGGGGTATGGGAGGCGGAGAACTTGTTTGCCGGCTAGCCACCTCGGTACCTTTGAAACCAAGATGGCTGCAAGTAACAGTAAGCGGTCGACCTCGATGATCTTAAAGAGAAATAGGGGACCGTAAACAATCTAGTTAGTGTGTCAACATGATGTTAATACCTCAGGGTACTCAAACAAAACTGAAACAAATTGCTTTTAAAACCAAAGTAGTAATTACTGCTGTTCTTTTTTATTTCGCGTTTTTTTTTCAGAATGGATCAAAGGTATTTTGCAGCATTTCGTACTCTCCTTTATCAAAACTTCTGGTTTCTGGAAGCACTGATCGACATGTCAGACTCTGGGATCCTAGAATGACTGGTAAGTCAGGAAGAAAATGTAAATATTTTAACTAAACTAGTAATAACCAAAGCTTGTTGGGTGCGGGCGACAACGATTGAAAGTGGAACCGCTTTTGCTCAAACGCTGTGCTTTGCGTAAGTTTCACATGATAGATGGTCAAAACACTCGTGATCACATTGCGAGTGTTAGAAGGTCCAAACGCGCTGATCAAATTGCGTTCTGTGCACTCCATTCATTCGTAGTGGAAGTCCAAACGAATGCTGGTTACAAACATGCAACGCATTCGTAATAACAACCTGGAGATTAGGATTGAAGGCTCCTCTTGTCTCCCGTAATAACAATTATGTTAACAAAAGTAATTACCGGGCCTGGAAAGCTGTATTTTTAATAAGGCATGCTTCATGCTACGGAAACCGGTATAAGCTCCGGCCGTGTGGGCCTTTGGCTCGTGTGCGCCTTTACCTTTTATTTAGGCTACCACCCGGAATATTGGCCGAACAGTTATTTACAATAATCACTGAATGCTTGAAANGCACGAGTGTAACCTGGAGAAGAGTATCAAATGTACCTTGGAGGCAAAGGCCGGATGTGAGGAGGCCTATTTTTCACTCCTCCCTTCCCCCACCACTGGAAAGAACCCGACGCCCTCCACCTCGTAATCTACGAGCAAGATCTCCTGGGGGTATGGGAGGCGGAGAACTTGTTTGCCGGCTAGCCACCTCGGTACCTTTGAAACCAAGATGGCTGCAAGTAACAGTAAGCGGTCGACCTCGATGATCTTAAAGAGAAATAGGGGACCGTAAACAATCTAGTTAGTGTGTCAACATGATGTTAATACCTCAGGGTACTCAAACAAAACTGAAACAAATTGCTTTTAAAACCAAAGTAGTAATTACTGCTGTTCTTTTTTATTTCGCGTTTTTTTTTCAGAATGGATCAAAGGTATTTTGCAGCATTTCGTACTCTCCTTTATCAAAACTTCTGGTTTCTGGAAGCACTGATCGACATGTCAGACTCTGGGATCCTAGAATGACTGGTAAGTCAGGAAGAAAATGTAAATATTTTAACTAAACTAGTAATAACCAAAGCTTGTTGGGTGCGGGCGACAACGATTGAAAGTGGAACCGCTTTTGCTCAAACGCTGTGCTTTGCGTAAGTTTCACATGATAGATGGTCAAAACACTCGTGATCACATTGCGAGTGTTAGAAGGTCCAAACGCGCTGATCAAATTGCGTTCTGTGCACTCCATTCATTCGTAGTGGAAGTCCAAACGAATGCTGGTTACAAACATGCAACGCATTCGTAATAACAACCTGGAGATTAGGATTGAAGGCTCCTCTTGTCTCCCGTAATAACAATTATGTTAACAAAAGTAATTACCGGGCCTGGAAAGCTGTATTTTTAATAAGGCATGCTTCATGCTACGGAAACCGGTATAAGCTCCGGCCGTGTGGGCCTTTGGCTCGTGTGCGCCTTTACCTTTTATTTAGGCTACCACCCGGAATATTGGCCGAACAGTTATTTACAATAATCACTGAATGCTTGAAACCTCTCTTCCTCTTTCAGACGGAGCGGTAGTAAAAAATACTCTAACGTCACATCAAGGATGGGTGTCTTCAGTGGCCTGGTCACCAAGTAGCGAGTTCGAACTGATTTCTGGGTCATATGACATGACAGTAAAACTCTGGGATACACGTAGGTTAGTAAGCTAATACCGGGTGTTATTTTTCCTTATTATTGAGCTTAAATGTCATAAAGTTTGCAAAATCTGAAAAAAGGAGGGAAAATCAAGTCCTTTAGCGCATAAGTTAAGTACATATGGTTGCATACGTAGATTGCAAAGTTTTCCAAGCTTTGAGATATATTCAACTTAATCGAAAAACTTAAAGCGCATCTCTTTTTATTAGGCTGAATGCTCCGCTGTACACAATGACCGGACACCAAGACAAAGTCATGTGCGTAAGCTGGACTCAACAAAAAGTAGGTGTTGTGAGATTTGATTACTTCTGACCATGTTTCGCATAAAAAATACTAAAAAGCGTTCTCCACACATAGGCACACTTGCTCTAAGAATAGCTCACGTTCGATATATTAAAATTCTAACATGACTCTGAGGATTCTGGTCATTTTTCTATATTTGGCATGGTTTTCTTTGTGCTCAAGTCTCTTCTGGGAATTGCGGGACAATGGTGACTTGAAATATTTGCAATTTTGCCCCTTAAGCCCCGGAGTCATGTTAGAATTTAATATATCGAACGTGGGCAATTTCTTATAACAGTGGCTATTCACCATTTGGTTATTTTTTTGCTATCAGGAAATTATTTAACGAACCCTTAAGTTACAAACCCAGTGAAATCATCCCAGCTATGGACGTCAAGTTTTATCTTTTTTTTGTATCAGTAAAATTTTAAACGAAAATATTCGACTTCCGAATGTCGCTTTCGTGGTAAATTTCTTAGAAATGAACTTTTCAGTGCATTTCTTTGGCTTTGCTGTTGTGTGATTAGGCATTTTTTTACATTTCTTCCAGTCAATCTTAAGTGGTGGTGCTGATAACCAGTTGATAATTTACGATATTTCCGGAGGAGGCTGGAGAACAACAGACAGTGAGATGGAATATCAGTCTGCGGACACCACGTGACCAGAAAAATAATGAGAAAGCATCCTTTTTGTCAGCCATCCTTTTCAATGGTTAATGGTTACCAACAACGAATCTGTCTTTACCGACGTGAAACATATGGACGTATTTTTTATCGTTTTCCGTCAACGTACCGAGGAAGCCAAACTTTACAACGATTCTTGCAGACCTTGCAGAGGTCCTTTTTTTCAGTCTGCAAATAAACTCTTTGATTGTATAAAATCTGTTTTCAAGTAAAAAAAATAATGACTAAAAACGGATTCAGTTACTTGTTTTAACTTATTTTTACTTCCAAAATTTTTATTGGTTTTCCAAACTTGGTGTTAATAAAAGTATTACGTGAGATTTTTCTTGTAAATGTTATAAGCCGCGTGTGAACGGACGCAACATTGTTGGCCAACATCTCCCAAAAACCCGACTGTTTTGCAGTCTAGGTAAATGTTGGAAAGTATGGTTAAAGTTGGAAAATATGGCTTATGATAAACGATCGTAAATTAGCCTTTCGTTATCAACTCAATTTATAAAACCCAAAGTTTTGTGTTTAATTATCTTACCGACACGACACCACAGTTTCTTTTGAAACGAAACTCTTCATTCTGTCGAGAGTGTAATATAAGTATCTGAAACCCGAATCATGACTTGGTTAATAAAGTAAGCCACATTGGACAACATACAATAAAACATGCAAGTAAGAACCAGCAAGTTAAGAAATAACCTGTAAAGCTTGCCAGGAAAGAAAAAAAAAGAAAAGAAAAAACTGTGGCGCTGCGAGGTGTTAGTTAATGGAAATTCTAAGTCTCTCTTATTTGTCACATTCTACGGAAACGCCACGAAAAAAATGTCAGTAGTATAGGCCGCACTGGTTACTCCGTTTTTTTGCGGGGGAATCTCATTTACTTCCGGGGGAATACATTAACATCGATGACGTCATAACCTTTTGTCTTTATCTCATGAATAGAGACGCAGGAATCTTATTAAGATAAGGTCATGTGCTATTTTTAGTTGGTTTAACCGGTTTTACAGATTTTAGTTGCTTTTAGGTCGGTAAATGTCTTGGTTTTTGATTGGTTGCTTAGAAATTTTCATTGGTTAATTCATGGTGTCTGAGGAATAAACTCAAACTTGACTGTGACTTAAAACACTGAGTCTTAACGTGATTATGCAAGTTCTATTTCCTGCTGCTGTGATTGTCCTTGTTCCGGTTCAATGATTCTTCGCGGGCAAATCGTGCATATCAATGAGGGCGATGGCAAACTAGACCATATTTTGAGATGCCTCAACACAAAAGGCAAAATTGTTTTGGACGACCGCTTAAATTAGAGGTTCTTGTCAGGTACTGGTCTACAACACTGGTTTTCCTGCGAAATGACGTCTGTTATGTCGTAATTTGTAATAATGTTGTCGTAATTTGTAATACCTGTCGCAATTTTTAAGAACTTGTCGTAATTTGTAATAACTTTGCCGTGATTTGTAATAAACTTTAATCAGAGGATGTGACTTGTAAACATATTTCCAATTGTTTTCATTCAGTTTACCTGGAGTCCATCACTATAGGCTCCTGGTTTTAACTGGTACATTATTTTACAATAGGCGGCGGCTGGGGTCCAGTCTTTGGGTAGGCCTAAACTCAATTTGGGAGATTTTGTAGTGCTGTATTGGAAGTACGTAGAATACTTTCAATCAAAAAATGCCCCAATGTATAGCTGAAGTTAAAGGAGAAAAGTAGCACATTTAACGTAAAACGATGTTGAATTGCAGAAAATAGACTTGTTTACTTACAGTCGGAACGGGTTTGAATTAAGCTAACTGTTATTTTTAAAAATTGTTATGTCCTATTGAAGTTAATTATTGGAATTTGTTTAGTTGTGGTGAATGTTTATTACTTTTTTGCAAGGAATATCATTGATGTTTCAGTATTTTGTGTTGGGGCAATTTTTTTTCCTTTTGTTTTTCGTTTTCTCACTTACTTGTTATCGTGTATTCTTTTACTTTTCGCTCTCCGGTATTTTGTTAATTACTCTCCCTTGTTACGTGCTGTATGTAAATTTCGTTATAGTTTGTTATCTCGCCCCTATTTATTACCAGTTTTTACGTGTCTATTAGTGTAACAACATTCGTCGAAGTAGATTATCTTTTTCCTCGGTGGCCCTGACAACCGACTCTGTTATCCTCAGCATTTGGTAAGCAGCTTCGTTTTCATCGTTTTTTCATTAATTTCATTTTGCAGTCGCCTTAAAGTGGTTTTTCTGTATTGTAACTATTATTTTTTCGCTCTTTGTAGGAATTTACTTGTTTTTGGTTTGGTAATAGTAAAACATTTGCTGATTGTGAGTTCACGGGTTGTGTGTTGAAATTGGCCCTTGCCCGTTCATTTTGTTTCAAGACATTTTGATCACTTTGAAAATGAGTTCCTATAAAATTGTATACAACTGCCCAATTTTTAGTAGTTAAAGGTAGTGTCTCTTTTTTTAAAATCTTATCCACCGAAAAATACAATTTAACAATGTTTCCTATGGTTTCACTTATGTTGTATTCAGGTTCGGTGTCTTTTCAGTTTTTTGCAGTAGGGATTTGGCAATCAAACCCTCTGCAAAACCAACCCCCGGTTTGAATGTTTACATGAATGAACATGTAAATCATAAGGAAGAAAGACTGACAGTTAAAAAGAGAAGTTGGTCGAAAATTGTTCCAACCCTCCGCCAGAGTAGCTGAATAAGACGCGAAACAGCATAAAAAAGAATTGTGAGATTTATTTATCCCTTATTATTATTACCATAACTATCATTAGCTTTGGCGTATACCACAGCAGGTCATACTAGAACTTGAAAGCTGGTCCGAATGACTGATCATTTTTGTAAACTTGCACTAAAATTTGAAACTCTTTGCACAAGTCTGAGATCACTTGCTCAGATTACCCTCGTTTTTCATGAAAAATTTTCATTCCGAAAAGTGAACGGGCTGCTTCTAAAAAACAAGCTGAAATCATTGTGTCCTTTCACATCAACCTTGTAATGTCCCCTTGATGATCAAAGACCACTCGAAAAACAAAGCTTTTGATCGAAAAGTATAAACAATGTTTATTATAACAAATCACGACAAAGTTATTACAAATTACGTCAGCTTCGCTTATTACAAAATATGACAAGGTGTTATTACAAATTATGACAGCTTTTTTATTATAAATTACGACAAAGTTCTTACAAATTGCGACAGGTCTAACAAATTAAGACAAAAGTATTACAAATTAGGACAGAACATGTACAGACGTCTGAGGAACAAACAGATGTTCTCAACTGTCGGGTTGATCATGTGTAGTCAAACTGCCAACAAGGGCGGGAGCGTAAAGCAGGGAACACTTAAGAATCTCATGACTTAAAGTAAGGAAACATTAGTTTAAGAATCGGACCATTAGAAAAGTTATGGGGTGGGGGTGCGGGCGAAGTAGTTGTGATTGGAGAATTGACCTTGGTGTGAATCACTTCCAGAAAATGGAAGCGGAAATCTGATTAGCTAAACGTGGAGGAAGGAATGTGGTTCCGTTCTCAGCAGTTGTTTGTGGGGAGGCGTGTTGTGTAATGACACAAAAAAAAAGGTGTGCAGAAGACTAGCCCAGTAGCCTAGAAAAACAATCATACACTGGCAAGAATGTTTTCACATCAAGGGGAGAAGATATAATCCGTGTAGGACATTTTGAAAAGAAAAAAGTCATGCAAGGGAAAAGTTTAGGAAAAACATTCGTGTGGCTAAGTCTGCAAATAAACTCTTTGATTGTATAAAATCTGTTTTCAAGTAAAAAAAATAATGACTAAAAACGGATTCAGTTACTTGTTTTAACTTATTTTTACTTCCAAAATTTTTATTGGTTTTCCAAACTTGGTGTTAATAAAAGTATTACGTGAGATTTTTCTTGTAAATGTTATAAGCCGCGTGTGAACGGACGCAACATTGTTGGCCAACATCTCCCAAAAACCCGACTGTTTTGCAGTCTAGGTAAATGTTGGAAAGTATGGTTAAAGTTGGAAAATATGGCTTATGATAAACGATCGTAAATTAGCCTTTCGTTATCAACTCAATTTATAAAACCCAAAGTTTTGTGTTTAATTATCTTACCGACACGACACCACAGTTTCTTTTGAAACGAAACTCTTCATTCTGTCGAGAGTGTAATATAAGTATCTGAAACCCGAATCATGACTTGGTTAATAAAGTAAGCCACATTGGACAACATACAATAAAACATGCAAGTAAGAACCAGCAAGTTAAGAAATAACCTGTAAAGCTTGCCAGGAAAGAAAAAAAAAGAAAAGAAAAAACTGTGGCGCTGCGAGGTGTTAGTTAATGGAAATTCTAAGTCTCTCTTATTTGTCACATTCTACGGAAACGCCACGAAAAAAATGTCAGTAGTATAGGCCGCACTGGTTACTCCGTTTTTTTGCGGGGGAATCTCATTTACTTCCGGGGGAATACATTAACATCGATGACGTCATAACCTTTTGTCTTTATCTCATGAATAGAGACGCAGGAATCTTATTAAGATAAGGTCATGTGCTATTTTTAGTTGGTTTAACCGGTTTTACAGATTTTAGTTGCTTTTAGGTCGGTAAATGTCTTGGTTTTTGATTGGTTGCTTAGAAATTTTCATTGGTTAATTCATGGTGTCTGAGGAATAAACTCAAACTTGACTGTGACTTAAAACACTGAGTCTTAACGTGATTATGCAAGTTCTATTTCCTGCTGCTGTGATTGTCCTTGTTCCGGTTCAATGATTCTTCGCGGGCAAATCGTGCATATCAATGAGGGCGATGGCAAACTAGACCATATTTTGAGATGCCTCAACACAAAAGGCAAAATTGTTTTGGACGACCGCTTAAATTAGAGGTTCTTGTCAGGTACTGGTCTACAACACTGGTTTTCCTGCGAAATGACGTCTGTTATGTCGTAATTTGTAATAATGTTGTCGTAATTTGTAATACCTGTCGCAATTTTTAAGAACTTGTCGTAATTTGTAATAACTTTGCCGTGATTTGTAATAAACTTTAATCAGAGGATGTGACTTGTAAACATATTTCCAATTGTTTTCATTCAGTTTACCTGGAGTCCATCACTATAGGCTCCTGGTTTTAACTGGTACATTATTTTACAATAGGCGGCGGCTGGGGTCCAGTCTT